CAATATTTTAGTTACCAATCTCGTGAGATGCGTGGTCTGTCTCCCGGTAAAGTTTGTGAAGTAACGACAACATACCAAGGCACGGTCAGAGTCGACGCATGTATTCCAGAAAGATGGGCAATCCAGGCTGGAACCACACCATCTGTAACTTATGGTAATCTGATCTATCTGGGTCCTTCACTGGCCAGCTACAGGAGAACGCCAATTGGCACTTCGGCGCCCACTGTGTCTAAAAGCGGTACTGCTAAGAAAAACATGGTGCTCCTCACACAGCTATAACAGAAGTTCGCCATCGTCTGTTCGTTCGGAGTTAAATCCATACTTAGCACCTAGCTGAGTTTCCGAGTAGCTGATAAAACCTACTTGCGCATTCATATCCCCTTGCAAGAACTAGGATTACTGGAAACACAGCTAAGCAATTTGTTCAGCTCGTTGTAGAAGGCCTCCGCGGCAACATCAAAGATGCAGTTGGTGGGGCGGGCATAAGCTGAAGTCACAAAGTGCCTCTAGGGCTACTTCTTGAATCAACCTTAGTTGATGACGTCAAATTGGCTGCACATAAACGGCTGTTCGCAGGAATCGAATCAAGCAACGATGACAGCCTTGGAGGAGAGAACGATGCCCTTCCCAACAAGGCCATTGATTGCCGCATCAACTTCTCCGGATGCATACAACCAATAACGAGAAGAAAAGCCGTTCACAGTTAATCCAACAACTTCGTTATGCTCACTGATCCTAGTTTAGGATACATAACACACGTCGATACCCAGTGTGGCCATGGTGCGTGCGAGCGAAATCTGTTGACCAATTTGTCTTGTAGTGCGGACTTTGAACTCTGCCGGGAAAAAGGGAGGGTGTGACCTTAGATGAGACTATTGCCGATGGGCGTCCGGTGTGTGGTGCGGGAAGGTAGTTGTCGTTAGTAAAACTGAATTGACATCTCGGCTGCTGACAATTAAGCTGGGAATGATCGATGTTTACTAATGGTGATTGAGAGGGGATTAAGAGAGTCAGGTGGAAAGGAAATAAGGGGACGCCAGCAGTAGCATGTTTTTACTTATCCAACCTGCTATATGCATCAGATAATACAACCTTTGATAAGCTGCACGAAGGTCGATGGAAGATATGGTGGAAGTCTTAAGAGTTATTTATGATCTTACTTTGGTTGAGATACTGTCAGGGAGCCCAGCTCTAGACAAGAGCTTAGAGTCCTCAAGCAGCGTTCTTGGCTCTAAAGCCCGTTCGCAAGGCCGCAGGCGTGGCAATGACACGGTTCTACAAAAACAGACGACATCCAATTTCAAACACTAACCTTGACGACCAGGAGACTGAGTTTGTCTGAGTTTAACCTTTGACCAACATGGTAAGGGTAGCTCACAGCTGGACCGAGGGCCCCACCCGGTATAGCTCGAGGAGAATAGGAGGTACGCAAACCGTCGTACCACGTTACGGTTCAGGCTTATTGCACATGTGCCTACCGCATCTGCCTCGACGTCGTTGCGTTTTCGGGCTTTTTTCTTTTGCTGTCATATTGTTTAACAAGTGTATAAGTATTTCATTTCTCCATGGTGCGATTGAATGTTGCCGCCTAGATGGAGCAACTCAGGCCGATACGACTGACTGGTTTGAAAAATTATAGCAAATTCAACAGAGCAGAAATCAAATATGGAATCTTTGTAGAACTTACCGAATGTCGTTTAAGCAGTTGAGATTGATGAGAAGCCCCTAGCATTTTTTATTGAAGCATGCCATTAGGGGTCCTAAACACCGACGCGTTTTATGTCAAGTTCCCATCTAAGAACGTTCAGTGTTTCTTTGGTTGTTTTCATAAATCAAGCTCATTATTGAAAATGATCTTAAACAGGGGTACATCTTTAGGCTCAGCTATAAGGGTATACCATGGATGTCATGACATTTTTACTGGTTTCATTGTTTCATCGAGTTGATTGCATTGTTTGCAAAGATGTGGCCATAATGACTGATAACACAGTCAGTTTAACCTGGCTAGTCGTTTATAGGAGATTTGGCCACCCTGCAGAATATCCTGGTTCAAGACTCAGACACGCCCAGGAGCCCTTTATTCGATCTGCAGAAGTCTCTCTGTCTGCCATTTGCTGAATTTCAGTCCACCATCCAAGATTAAGGGATTTACTTTACACGAATCCTAGGCATCTCGATATAAGAAGGAATACATCTTGCGTAAAATGCTTACTTAAGAACTATTCTGTGTGACAGCTCGTAACTGCAAGCTTTCACTATAGTATCGTTCATCACTTTATATTTGATTTAACGCATTCTTTTGGCAGCCTTGTTGGGTGTTAACAGTGGTTGTTTCAGGTGGTTTATCACAGGTTCCCCCATCCCTTCAGATGGATACTTTCAAGTGCTTCTCGCTGAATGCAGCTGATTGGTGCATTTTGCAGGGGCCGACTCAACCTGGTGTTTTCAATGCCTTGGTTGGTATTGACTAACGCATATCTGATAAATAGTATAATATACAAACAGTACCCATTTCCGATAGGGAATTTCCTTGTCCCTATTCGACTTCGTGTTATCGTTGCTGATGCAGCTTGGAGCAGTTAGGCCATAATTAGTCACACCAGTTATTTTTAAGCGTAGCCTATTTTTAGGGAAGTCATTAAGTTTCCACCAGTTTCCTTGTTAAAATAAGTCGACATACTTTGATCGCCCAACGAAAAGAGCAGCCATCTCACCATTTTATTAAAATCGACTATCTTTACCTTCGTTCCCTGCACGAGTGATATCGCAAACCAGATGGGTTTTAAAGCAACTGTGCTATCCAGCATGTTCTTTAATACATGATTTGCTAGGGATATAATCTAATACCGTCTCTTTATACACGTAATAAACCTCTAAGTTATGCAGACTGCCTTATAGATAAAGACAACAGTTAAACTTGATTTCGCGAAAGCTCAGAATAATCGCGGCGTTTATAAAGTTGAGCGGAAAATGACCAATTACGCAGAATACCAGAAAAAGTAGAACATCTTAAATGTTACTTTGAATTCGTTTATAATATAATCAATAACTCAACCGAATTTAACAACTGCAGATCTCATCTCCGAATATGAAATAACATTTATGAGGAAACTGCTTTGGAGAGAGTTAAGGGGTATTCCGAAAAACACTACTTCTATAACGCGGATAAATACTACTGTTTTGTTCGACCTGAGGTGTATGCGTATCCATCTCGAAAATTCGCTGTATTGACAGGATTTGCTGCCAGATGCATATTCAGCCGGAATTTCGTAGGGAAGTGCTAGTAGCTAAACTTGTTTCTAAAGGGGAACCAGCTCGGAAGAAAGCTTGACAGGCAAGCATCGTTAGTTCCATCACCGTTGCTATGGTATTTAAATTATTCCTATAAATCAGCTTTGCTGTAATAAGGATGCGTACTGGACATGTATATTTAGCAATTAGCAGCTTTCGTTCACTATCATTTTTTCTTGAAATCCGTTTACTCGCATCATTTGATAAATTTGCTAGGCCGTCACAGGTCGTCCGTAATGGATATCCTCACAAGGTTTCATGTCCGTTAATACCGTTTCTTCGAACTTGCGTGGGTGGTACAGGCTCCTATCTCTTCGCATTCACCTTTGTCGTTCAGCATCTTCTAGCTTTACATTTGGCTACAGCTTGTTTTAGTAGAGTTACTTCAACTAACACTTTATCCAATTTAAGTGAAGTAGATACCGACCTCTCCGATTTATCCATACCGCTGTAAACTACTACCGAAGAAAAGGGGCCTCAGTATTTACAATCAGAGTGATGCGTTTTGCAAAATCCAAACCCACATGCAACTCTGCTTCTCGCAAGCGGTCAAAAGGGCTCAGGAGCTGCTGATATCAGAGGAAAACTAGCAGTTTCTGAAATCCATTAGGTAGATCGACCCCAACGAGCTCAGCAGGTGCCCAGCGATCCATGCAATTATGCCGACATTCCAGGCCTAGTTGGCTCCCACCTATGGCAGCCGAATGGTTAATCTATCGAAACGTGGTGGGAGAATTGCATGGGAAAACCTGAAGACACGCTGATATTCTGGCGCGTGATGCTTGCAAGAACTGCACTAATGGCAGACATGGCCGGCCGCTACCTATGCAATCTTAATAATTAAGTAGACACTGAACGGAGCATTGTAGCCTACAAATGTGTTGTGTCTTACAAGCTTCATAACCATTTGGGCGATAGCAGGACGCACCTGGTTAGGTGTTATTTTAATTCCTCTGTGTTGAATCACAACTGGTATGTGGATATATGTGCCTGGATTTGTCTATGTCGGTCTTCACCTAGAAATTATGGAATTTTATGTTAGTACTTTAGAAAATCCGCGGAATTTTTTATTTTGATTGTGGAAGAAAGGTTTTGCCAACGTAAAACCCTAGTGTCCTTACTTACGCGCATCTGCGAATGCATGCTGTACCCGCCGCACATAGGTCTTCACCCCAAAATATTAGGGAGTTCATATTTGTGAAACCATGGTACTAATCCCTCCTTTCATTACTCGCTAATACCGAGCGGATTACGAATTTATTTTGTGCTCCCATCTGACAATGGTGGTACAGCAACTGATTTATTGTCTCGGGTGCCAATCCGGCAGTGCACAAATTGGAAACGCACAAGGTAAAAATGGGTAACTGTGGCGTTGGATCACAGCTGATTACTTAGTCGAGGAAGTTGCCGTCCATACTTCGTGACATATTGGTTTTAACCACTGATTCGAGAAGCCCACTGGTCACATAGGATATATGCTAGTAACTAGTCTCGAAAGGACGAAATTTTATTTTCTACTTTTCCGGCTGTGCGGTGGCTATATGGCTAAATTTATTCAAAATAAAAGGGAAATTCAGATAATTCGGCTTCTCCTTAAGTCATCTTCTTTATTCCGGTGGTATAACCTTAAATTTGTGACCAGGAATATTACAGGCCCCTCCTTTTTCCTTATCTTGAGATGTCATTCAATAACGCTGTTACAGATAAGATTATTTTACCTCTAAGAAGTGTATTGTGGGGATCAACTATATACAAAGAAGCCAGCAAGCAAACACATCTGTATGGGTTGGATGGAATCTACCACTAACAGCCACACCAACGTTCCCATCAATTAGGGCCATCTACACTTGGTTCTCGCAATAGTATCGGATCCAATTATTTCCCTGTGCGTAAAACTTAGATACAATGCCTATTACAGCTGGGTTAATCGTGTGTCGACATCACGGTTGAAGTATTTCTACAGATGGACCAAGCTGGTGAAGAGAGCGGAAGTAGATCAGCCGTCATGTATCCAGATCACATGTACTCCATTTGCAAAAGCACATAGACCACGCCGACAGCGAATTGTAGGATTAGCAAGCAACACGCGAAGAAGACGATGAGCTTGATCATTGGCAGATAACTTCGCACTGGATCAGGGCACCTGAGAAGGGAATTCAGGAGATTATAGTTACATTTGTGGTGAAACTAGGGGAAGTGCTGTTAACAAAGTCAAGACTGACTCACCCGCTACGACACGGTCGATATTCTACGGAGTTGCCATCACACTGCCCTAATCCAGTGATGTTGTTGACTGGCACGCGGCATTCTCTCGACCGACTCTGCCAACCCCTACCTCCGCAAAGCGGGGCAGAGCACAATGTCCACGATCCCCATGGGAGCCTGAGGGAGGAAAAATTTGGGATAAGTTGACCAGTGCTTCATTGGAAGATTTGGGGCGACAGTCTCCGGTAAGCGTCACTATTGCAGTGGAACGAGAAACGCGTGATTGTTATTGGGAAGGTGGTCTTTGCGCGATGCTTACGATGCGGTCTACAAAGGTCAATTCACTGTTGGCTCTTAAAGACTGAAAAGCTGGATTGCTGCCACTTGGAACGGTGACGGTTAGACAGAATCACACAGTACACAATAAAGGCAATTTGCTCAGATCCTACTTCAAAGTGCTCTGAAGTGCATTGCATATTTTCATCAACGATACCCAGTGACGCAACAGATTCAATAGCATCTTTCAAGTGTCCTCCAAGCCCATTTTGCGTGGATGGGTTGTGAAGTAATTTCAGTCTCCGCCACGAGAAAAAGTTGTGGTGAACCCCGGTATTTTCGATCACTGGAACTGTGGATGAAATCCATAAACTGCTAGCAGTACCGGCACATTAAGACGGGGTAAATGCCTTTTCGTATTTAACAACTAGTGGTAGCGGGACTCTGACAAGAATTCGGGACTTAGAATTCACCGACTGACACCTTTACTCCCGCAAACTACACATTGGGTAGCGATTTTCACAGCGATCAATGGCTCAGTGTTTGTTCCATTGAAGCACTTGGATGAAAATGGAAACCAGGAAATAAAGTTGACAGAATACCGTATCCACTAAACATTACTCAAGCTAAATCGAACACAGTTGTGAAACTTAAAAGCCGTCAAGTTTTCCTATGCTAAAATGAAGTTGTTGAAACCACGCGATTCTGTGGATGTGCTCTACCGCACTCCACGAATAACTGAACCAGTGAAGACGTACATCGACTAGACATTTCTGCCTTGTAAAATGAACAACAACCATGAACAGCTGATCGATTGCAGCGCTTGCTTTTGGTGCTCCATTATTAAAATACTCGGACACACCCATAAAAGAGCAATGAATCGAGCTATCGTGAAACATGCTGGCTGTTGTCCGGAGTGGTTAAGCGCTTGCGTTGCAGTCCGGATGCCACCGAGGGCGGGCCAGATTGCGGTAAGCGCAGCATTCTCGTCACCTACGGTTCGGTTGAGAAAATATTCGCAAAGTGGTATTGAACGAGCGTGTTTTCAGTGGCTCATATTCAGGCTATTACACCACGCTATGAGGGGTCAAATAAAACGCTAATCTAATGGTATGATGACAGAAAGTGATTCCAATTTCCGATCAATATAACAAAATGCTTGGATTACTCAAGGTCAAATCATGTGGCATACCGTGCTCATTATCGTTAGTCGGGCGGATGGGTAACTGAACTGCCTGTAAGAGTTTGTTTTGAGCACATAACTCAGGGTTTTTGAGTCGGATAGCAATTGCCTCTGCTGTAGCAGGTAAACGGCAGCTGACAGTTCGCGTGCCGTGTCCAGGTATCCGGTGGATGGGCTGAAAAGCCTCTTGCATTTTGCATTGGTGCTTTGTATCAATCAGGTGCTACAATATGGTACTCGTTATCGTCCCCCTTATACCACTGGGGAGCCATGCGGGGCAACGTTCCCGAACTCTTTCGGAGAGAAGTCCAGTAGTTTTCCCAATATATCATGCTTGACACGAAGAAGAAATTTGAACAAACTAAAGGTAAACTCAGATGGTGGCATTCTCTTCTAAGTTATTGGCTCACAATCGGTTTTGTAATGACAATCAATCGTAACTTAGCAACGGGGAATGTTCTAGTGGTGGCATTTGAGCGTTTCCGGACTGTACTTTCTGCTATCACGTCACCTTTGAAAGTTAACCTAAGTTAGATTGACGGCTTTTGGTGTTCGTACTCCCATGCAAAGGGGGATGGATTATCAGGATATCCGTTTTGCTAGAACACGCTCTGAATGTAACCTAGTTCTTCAAAAACGTGTCTAACGTACATATCAGTCTCGCTATATCCATTAAAATGCGGATTAAGTTTCGTTTCTGGCTTATTGGAAAGAAGTACTGAAATGTATGTGTTGTCCATTGCTTGTTGCTTTTCTGTGAATCCTCTTTTGTGTTGTTCTTTCCATAGTTCTGTTAAATTGGACATCAAATAATGCCATACTGTTGTTGCGCTTTCGCTCGATGGTCAACGCATTATTATCATGTGCATCGTTGCAACTGTAACAGAATCGCAGTGCGCGACTGACTATCCACGACACAAAATGTGTCTTTTACGTAGCGACCGTCGTATAACTACTTTCTGATGCATTCATGCAACTGGTTTTTCTCCAGCTTGCTCATAAAGACGTCGGTGAGCAATGACTCCAATGGTGAACCCATTGCCACACCATTTGCCGATAAGTTATTCTGTTAAACTGGAACTGAATGTTTTGGTGCATATCAGCAAGAGCGATATTAAACGTTCAGTGGGAATGCTGGTATTGGTTTGAGGCTTCTTCTAGTGTCACATTTATGGAAAGAGGCATCACGTCTAACGAGAACAAGTTTCGCCCGATTAGTTTAATTTTTGCCATAGAGTCGAGGAAGTCGTAAATATCTCCGCCACAGTAAGTGGTTAAGATTTCTTGACCGGCTCTAAACAACCCATTTGTCAAGTGGAGAGTTGACATATCTAATATTGCTTTTAGTCGCAATCATTCTCCATGTACTTCGGTTTACTCTAGAGTACAATGGAATCCGAAAGGAGTTCATTGCTATTTTTCCCAGTGCTGTTCACCTGGCCAGGGTGTCCAGCAGTTACCATACTGCTGCCGAGCACATACTCCCATGTGTTGTGCTGTAGGCTGCTTAATTCCGCAGATGAAGAAAATAATTATGGGTTGTAGTGTAAAGGAGAAAATGCCATTGAAACCTTCTTCGTTACAGTGCATCTACTAAGGGCTGAAGTGTTTTCATGACGATTCGTGACATGGTTGTAACGTTACCACATGTTCGTTAAATAAGTTGGGGTTATCAAATGAGCAGATAAGTAAAAAGTGATAGCGTATGCGTCTAATGGCATAGCATTCTTTTCACCTAACTAGCTCGGTAGCAACCGACTTGGTTTCTCCATCATCCGAGGATTCACGGCCCCCCTTCCGTTTGTTTCAGCCTCACCGCCAACCCCAGTGTTGGATGCCCGGCAATTCAACTTCGGGTTACTCCTACTTATCATTGTTGCCCAACGCGACGTGTTGTTTTAACCCCCTTGGAACCAGCGCGTTCCGTGCTGCCGTGACATTGGTTACGGACCGTGCAGACTGCGCTTGCGTATCCCTCAGTTAATCGGCCACTTTCTGGTGTCGGCTTGTCAGCAGGCACTCTAGTAGTTTAAAGCAGTTAATTCCCTTCAGAACTTTGAAAAGCACGCTAAGAAGAGGAAAGCTGGTGGATGCATGTATTTTGTATGTCTCCTCAGTACCATTAACAATAACCGGTATCCAACTATATACTCAAATATGCGTGTGATCGAACAAGCTAGTGGTGCAAACTGAATGACGGAAGTTCCGCCCTTATGTCCATGGCAGTCTTAAGATGACAAATAGTGGCTTTTGAACACACAGGGCCGGCTTATCACAACGGCCTCGACGAAACGGAGAAAGCGTGGATTAGGTTGACTTAATACAAGTGTGAACGCTGATCCAAGCTCTATCTAGTGACGCGTAGTCAGTAGGTGTTCACCTATTGAATAAGCTGGCGGCTTGCGCAATCACGGAACTTCAGTGTGACAGGGAAACAGATTGATGTCAATTTGAACCCATCTTGGCATGTGTTCCTTTATTCGGGTATTCAAAGATCGATTGGTTGTGCCTATATAAATGTCTCCGCAGTCGCATGTGAATTTGTATATGCAATGTCAGTTGGCCCCTATCGGTTGAGCTTCCTTCTAAGGAGGCACCGGCAAGTTCCAGGTTCTATAGATGATCACTACCTGAGCAGCACAGTAACTTCTCTGCGTGGCAGAGATTAAATGTTTCTTGGTTTTCCATGCAGTAAATTCACCCTTGAAAGGCAACTCGATATAGGTCTTTTTCTTGGCAGCCGGATGCACGAAGTTTCTCGGGCCTCGCTGTTGGTTGTGTTTCTCTAAAAATCTAAGTGGGTAACCATTTGTATTAAGTGTTGTTGCAATTAACTCTAGCTCGGCGGATAGACATTGGGCTTTGCAAATTCGTCTAGCACTACTAACTACAGTTTTCACAAGGGTCCGCTTGTACCGCACTGGTGTGAAGCTGGTGAAGTGCAGGTATTGGTCAGACCACGTTGCTTCTCCGTAAATAGACCTTTTAATGAACCTGTTATCCCCGCGACTGATGAGGATGTCTAAAAATGGCAGCCAGTTCTTCTGTTCCACGTCGTAAGTTGGTATGTGCACAGTTGATTTGCTGCACAAACTGGACAATCTGTTGCTCCGATGAACGAAAGGCCAATCCACATCCACATATTCGTTCTTACTATATGGTGGGGTTTGACTTCCGGCCACCTACGTTCTCTCTGTCTATATCGCGGCCTAATCTGCACGTCTGTTACAGGAGAGCTTGGAACCCCCGACCCGAACGAATAGTAGATACCTGGCCACCTTACCAGTATCTTCTTGATCGAGATATCGGAAGTAATGGAAGTCATCTGAAGTGCCTGCTGAAGTCGCAGAACGGAGACAAAGTTGTCATGTATCTTGGAGAATTATGCTTGTCGACCTATACTTGTCCAAAATCATCCCGCGATTCCCTCATCAAAATATTTTCTGTTGGTACGCACTATCCCAAATGGGCGAAGCTAGTTTGAGCCTCCATACCGAATACCCCACAGTCCGTGCGAAGAAATATATTGCTGGGATTACTGGGAGATGAAGCTTTCGACATTGTGGCTGACAGCAAGATATATGGGAAAAAGCTTAACGCATCTACCTTTGAGAAGCTCGCGTGATTCCTTGACTTGCCACTGCTTCCCACGCAATGGCGCCAAGCATTCCACTCTCCGTACTACATACCAGATTAGTGTCTGAGAGCTATCGTTCAG